CTGGACTATTCACTCCATGGTTAAAACCTTAGCCCTAAATAACCAAAGATTAAAACACTATCGTTTAGAGTTTGAATGCTATCCGTACTCCATACGAAGAGATCTAGTGGCCTAAGCTTAGCTTCTTGTTTTAACAACGTACTAAAGCATGTATTAGCCTATATGGTTGACAGATGGAGATAACAAAGGGAGCTATTTACAATTTAGCACAATTTGAGGGGATATTACAACTGACCCAGGAGATGTAAGGGAAGAGCATGTATTAACCTATGTGCATGAAAACCCTGCAACCATTAAGCTAACAAAGGGAAATTATATTTATAATCAACTTGATATTTAGATTTATTACTGACTGGACTCAGGTAGTACCTTGTAAAAAGTTTAGGCGATGGCTACCACTTATTATTTCGGTACCGATATATGTTGCACTTATGTACTCGGAAAATAATTTCCTAATGTGAGGATTTAATGTCTAGTTCATTGCTTGAGGTATCTGATTATTTTTCTCATTTTAACAGGTCTAGGAATTCTAAAGTAAGACGGTCTCGAACACAACGAGAGCGCCGGAGACAAGATCTATCTGCTGAAAAATTAAAAGAAATTTCTGCATCTTCAAACCAGGTAAATGCAAGTCCTTACTTTCAGCTTTCCGGGCATGTCTTGTCTTATGGCGCATGAACAATTTTCATAATTAACTAAGATTAGCCAACCGCTCATTTAAGGGGAAGGGAAAAGAGAGAATTTTAAAAAAAGGAAGAAAAAACAACTATTGTTGTGGGAAAACCTCCTCTAGCTCTTTCTCACCTATAGTGCTGTAAGGCACACCTTTCTTATTCTGAAACATAGAGATGGCCTCTATTTCCACTGGAAAAGCAAAAGGACAAGTTACTCTATTGCATGTAATATTCTTTCTTGGTTACTAAAGATTAAGTACTATGTAAATAGGGTCTTCAGGAGATGGAGAAAACTGCTGATTCAAATTTCGAAAGTGAAGAGCCAGGTTGCACTACCAGTAGCAACTCCTCTAGTGTACATCATGCAGGCCGGAAAGAAAGTCCGATATTCTCCCCTTGCCCAGTTCAAGGCCATCCCGATACCACTAAGAACATGAAGAACCTACCTCCATTACCCAAGTCTAAAGCGCGCACCACCAAGTATAACAAAGACGGTAACATGTACAGTTCAAATCAGATTAGCAGGTCTGCATCCAGTAGAGAATTCAGAAAGTTAAATCAAAGGGACCAATTAGAAGTCTATGCTGTTGATAACTAGGCCACATGAGATGACCATGTAGAGCTGAACAATATCTTTTTTGTTCTATTCTTATTTTCCTCTACTGGGTATTGTTGACCAACATGAATTATCATGAATTGGGTATTTTTATAATGCAATGGTGATCCGCTCTGTGTTTGATATGTTGCTTTTAGTGAGGCTGCTGAGGATAAAAAAGAAAATCAAAGCTAAAAATGCATTTCTTCTTTTAGGGGATTAATTTAGTTGTGACATTTTCAGTGATCCCGAGTCAAGGCAATTTAATCCACACGTAAATTATTATTATTATTTTTCAATTTCTGACAATTTATTCCAAGTGAAATGTTGACATCCATTTGTGGCATGATATATGGTTGCATATAATGATTTGTCATGCATACCACTCATATTTACTCATTCATTTCAATTTTCATGCATATGTCAAACCCTTTTTTTGTTTTTTTGGGTAGGCTGTAGTACTCTTACTAGTTCTTACCATTGATGGACAACATTCCTAGTATGTGAAAATTGAGAGTTGTCATCAGTCATTGAAGTGAAATCTCACCGATTCAACCTATGAGCTCCTATAGTAACTAGCTTTTGATTTAGTAGTATTTTTTTTTCTATGTTGAAAGAGATTTAAAGTTAAATTCTCCATTGTCATTGATTTTTTTTTATATATATAAAAAAAAAAATAGCGCCAGGGAGCTCTTGATGCTTTCGTTGCAACATAATCTTCTTTCATGTGTAAGCAATTTGTTGAGGCCCAAAAAATCCAAGGCTGGGCCCAAATATATTTTCGGCCCAGTACAACACCAAGCGGAAAATCCTTATTCAAGCAACATGTCACGCTACAAGCTTAAGTGGGCTTAAGCCACGTGAATGCTTGGAGCTTGTTGAGCGGGTTGTGGTATGGATGGTTACGAGTATTCACGAGGCCCATTGATGGTCCAATGAGTGGAAGTTTTGGGCTACTTGGGAGCACCAAAACTCAAGCTCATTCCTTGAGTCCGAACATATGGGTAAGCATGAGAGAAAACCCAATAACCCATCACCTTAAGAAAAGGCCCAAACATCTTAGAAAAATATCTAATAGCCATAGCCCATAAAAAATTCCACATCAGCCAAAGCTTCCAGCAGTCTGACGAAATCAAAGGGAACTCAAAAACCGCTGGAAGCAAAACAACCCAACCCAGCACCTTATAAAATATCCAACGTCGTGCATCTCTGTTAAAACCAGATCGCAGCCAAACCACCAAAACCAAGCCATGTGCTGATCACCTTTTTGACCAAGCACCCTTACCCATTCTTTCCTCTTCAAGCTTTGGCGAGAAAACAAGAAACAAAAGTGGGTGGCTCCTCACCCACATGGAGAAGTCCTGCTACCCGAGGACCTTGGAACTCCAAACAGCTTCATGCCTACATGCTTAGGCTAGGGAAGTTTCACCAAATAGGATGGAATGGAAGAAAGTGAAGGAAAAGAGGAGAGGGTGGTTTGATAAAATTAAGGTTTCCAGCACCTACAAAATGAAGCACTTTCTTCCCAGCAAGGACACACACAACAAACCGATCAAAGGCAAGCATCCCCTCTGGAATCCTTCAATTTCATGCTTTGTTCTTCCATCTTTTTGGAGAGTATCCCGATCAAGTACCCACTAACAAAGAAAGATATCAAAGATTAGTGGGGCAATTGATCTACTTGTCACATACCTGACCCGACATCGTGTATGCTTTGTAAGTGTTGCTAGTCAGTTTATGCCTTGTCCAAGTGAAGACCATATGGATGCGGTTCTTTGGATTCTTAAATATTTAAAGTTGACACCAGGAAAGGACTTATGTTTTCTAAAAATGATCATCTAAATATCAATGGTTATACTGATGCAGATTGGGCGGGGAATATCATTGATATAGATGATCAACATCAGGGCACTTCACATTTGTGGAAGGTAACTTGGTTACTTGGAGAAGCAAGAAACAGAATGTAGTTGCCTTGTCTAGTGAAAAAGCCGAATTTAGAGGCATGACCAAAGAAATTCACCTGCAGTGTGACAACAAGGCTATAATATCCATTGCACACAATCCAATTCAACATGATCGCACTAAACATGTTGAAGTGGATCGACATTTCATTAAGCAAAAACTTGAGGCCAAAGAAATTCAGCTTCCGTTTGTCAAGTTAGAAGACCAGTTGGCCGACATATTAACAAAAGCAGTTTCCAGTAGAGTATTCCACAACTCACTGGTCAAGTTGGGCGTTGGCAACATCTATGCACCAACTGGGGGAGGGGGGGGGGGGGGGGTGGGTTATGACTTAGATTAGTTTGTCATCTTGTGAAATACAAGTCCAAACACAATTCCTTGTTGCATGGACTCTCTCTCCTTGTCTCATGGAGACCTTGTTTTATGGAAACCTTGTTTCCTAGTTGATAGTTATGTAATTAATGTTGGACACTACTTGTATAATTGAGTTAAGTGAAATAGGAAGAAAACAAGTGGAAGAAATCATAAAATGTTTGTGTTGTTCTCATTCTCTCTATATTTTCAACTTGTCCTATCCATATTTTCCAATTTTGACATATATTATCCAAGTTAGCTATAGCAGATGTGCTCCCCACTCTGCAATTGAGTTCGAATCCCCTTTCCTATAGTTTATATTAGTTTAGCAAATGTGATTCCCACTCTGCATCCGAGTTTGAATCTCCCTTAGTTTAGATTAGTTTAGAGTATAATATTGTTTGTATAATATATATATATATATAGTCTTTCTCATGTATGCATGATGTTAAAATCCGGTTATGCCTTTTTCAACTTGTTTTTTTAGATAGATTGGATATCTGCAATTCCAAGTGGTCCATAATTTGCCAATATTCATTTTATACATAAGAAATCACATGGGTTTGGGGTTTGGGAACATGTGCAGATGCAGAAGAAGAAAGCATATAAAACACATGTAGGAGTGTACCACTTGGAATGGCAGGAATCCAATCCAACTGCAAAACACAAGTTGCAAAGGGGACGCCCGGATTTTAACAGTATGCGGGCATCTGCATTAGAGAAAAATTATATATAAATATATAAATATATATATATATCTTCATACTAAAAAAATGTGAGCAATTAACTACTAGGTTTAAAATAATTAGGCTATACAAAATTCTAGCCAGTTGACATGTGGCGGCACATGGTGCTGAGGACTCAAGATCAAAATGGCAGTCTAAAAAACTAATATCTACATAGTCTAAATTTGTAGGAGTTTGGTTAGTATTTAAATCTTTTTTTTTAAAAAAAAATTTTAAAAGTCAACTTATGTTTTGGGGACAAAGTTTTTAACTAAAGAGTCTTGTATATTAATGGTCTCAAATTCGAATACCGTGGATTGTATGTGAGAAACCACTTCCTCTCTAACTATATACTAAAAACAAAAACAAAAAAACAAAGACAGATACTTTTCACACGGAAACATTGAAGTGAGTAGTGCGACTTGCCCAATGTCCTCGTCATCCGATCTTGATAAAGAAATTTTATTGATAGACATACATTCACAATAATATTGAGGTGATCATTATAATAGTTTTATTGCCAAGTCTTCTGGGCGTGATCCTAGAACTAGAACCAAAAATTCTTAGAGAACTGCCAACGACCTAGTTCTTGTTTAGACTCGTGTCAAGCTGCGTGTATTCGGATTGTGTTATGTTTATATATACACACACCTTAGTTTCCATGCAAAATATCCGATTAATAAAAAAAAAATGATCCTTTTCTACTTTCTCTCCTCGATTCTTATTGTTAGCTTCCCCACTGAAGCTGAATACATCGGCCATAACTGCTCAACTTTAGCTGGCCACTCCACCTCCACCTTTAAATCCAATCTTAACCAACTCCTCTCAACCCTTTCCTCCAACTCCAACCGCAGCGACACCGCCGGCTTCTACAACGCCACCGTCGGCACCGCCTACGGCCTCTTCCTCTGCCGCCGTGATGTGTCTGCCCGTGTCTGCAAAGGATGCGTGGCCAACGCAATCTCGAAGGCGCTCGTACGCTGTCCCGACAACCAACAGGCCGTGGTTTGGTACGACCACTGTATGCTACGATACTCAAACCAGCCCTTCTATTCTGAGGCTGCCACGTCGCCTGTGCTGGTATGGTCTTTCAACAAGACTGTGACACAGTATCGGGTGGAACCAGCTGAGATTAACGTTGCGCTGGTTAAGACTTTGGACAACTTGGTCCCCAAGGCAGCCAATGCCAGCCACAAGTTTGCGACGGAAAAAGCAACTGTTTCGGCGAGCCTGATTTCGTTTACGGTGTACAGCCTTGGGCAGTGCACGCAGGACCTGTCCGCCGCGGATTGCAATGCGTGCCTCCAAAAAGGCGCGACGCGGTTGGTGCCGAGTATGCAAGGAGGAGGAGTTCTATATCCAAGTTGTAATGTTAGGTTCGAAATGTACTCCTTCTACCAAGAGGTGACAAATTCCACAAAAGGGTCGCTTCAATCCGAGCCATCACTCCCTCCTCCACCCGCCTTGCCTCCAACGCTGCCACCTCCGCCATCTGCCCCTCTGTCGACCAGACCTGGTAAATATTCTATTACAACTAAATGTTTTATTATATATGGATTAATAAATGTTTTGACAATCTTTCTTTGGCCCTTTTCTTCTTGTTCATGCAGGACGAAGCAAAGTCGCATTCATAATCATCGCTAGTACTCTTGGTCCTGTTGCTTTCTGTGTGTTAATTGTGATTGTGGCCGGATGCTTCTTTCCCAAGAGACTAAGAAGAGTCAGAGAGAAATACCAAGCCAAAAAACAACAGAAAAAAGGTAAAAACTGAATAAAAGATTTAGTTTAGTCTTAAGACCTTTTCTAATACATCTAACTCTTGGAAAAACTCATATTTCCTTAGTTGGAAATGATATGAAGACTGTTGAGTCCTTGCAATTTGATTTGGGAACTATTGAAACTGCCACAAACAAGTTTTCAGACAACAACAAATTAGGTGAAGGAGGATTTGGTGCAGTTTTCAAGGTATGAAGATATCTCTTTGCATGCAGAAATAATTTTTTAATTTGTACTTTATAAGAAATTCTTAGCTTGAAGATCATGTACGTAGTTCTGAATTAAGATGATCGAAGAATGGAAATGATTGAAATGACTATATATAACCTTGTAGGGAACACTTGGTAATGGACAAGAAATAGCAGTAAAACGGCTATCAAAAAGCTCCACACAAGGTGTGCAAGAATTCCAGAATGAGGTTGTATTGGTAGCCAAACTTCAACATAGAAATCTTGTGAGGCTTCTGGGATTTTGCTTGGAAGGAGAAGAAACCCTACTTGTCTATGAATATGTATCCAACAAAAGTCTCGATCACTTTCTATTTGGTTTGTGAATATCATGAGTATCTTTGTTTATATATATATATATATAGTTCTAAGTGGTAAATTAATACAACCTTGAATGTAACATGTGTTTGATAAATGTTTGTGCAGAACCCACAAAACGAGAGCAGCTGAATTGGTTAAGACGCTGCATCATAATAGGAGGAATTGCTCGAGGAATTTTATATCTTCATGAAGATTCTAGACTTAGAGTTATACATCGTGATTTGAAAGCTAGCAACATCTTGTTAGATGGCTATATGAATCCAAAAATATCAGATTTTGGCATGGCTAAAATGTTTGGACTTGATGGTCAAACTCAAGGAAACACCAAAAGAATTGTTGGCACTCTGTAAGTTCCAATTTATATAACTCTATGTACTTTTTATGATATGATGCACCACAAAGAAGAATAATGTATGATAATTTTCATATCTTAAAACTCTTATGGGAGTGCATTAATTTTGATATGCCAGTGGTTACATGGCTCCAGAATATGCAATGGAGGGATTGTATTCCATAAAATCTGATGTCTTTAGCTTTGGAATACTCTTGCTTGAGATCATAACAGGAAAAAGGAACTTTTTGGGTTTTGACGAATGTGTACCTACTCTTCTAGCATATGTAAGTATGTAATTACTTAGTTTGAGTACTAGCCTCCTTTCCTTAAAAGTAATCGTTCCTATTTATCTACCAATCACAGTTTAATACGTATGCAGAAAAAATTAATTTTTCATTTTAATGAGTTATTTTTGCATATATATAATTTCAAACGGTAATTTGCACCAAAGAGAAATGATTCCTTTCAGGAGAGGAGCCAAGCAGTCCCCTAATTTAACCATCCAACATTGTAATTGTCCAAATCATTATTTTGGTAGCTCTCAAAGTGTAGTGCTCTTACATCCTTAATAAAGTACTATTGGTTGCAGGCTTGGCAATTATGGAATGAAGGAAAGGTGTTGGAGTTGATGGATCCACTACTGTTGAAAGATTCATGCAGCCCAAATGAATTTTTGAGATACATCCACATTGGACTATTGTGTGTTCAAGAGGATGCAAACAATAGGCCAACCATGTCATCAGTTTTTCTAATGCTGAAAACTGAAACTCTTAGTCTTTCCAAACCTGAGCGACCTGCATTTTTTACTGGGAGGTCTGAAAACCACCACCGTCAGATTGGTGCTTATACATGCAGTGTCAATGGTTTGACGGTTTCTGATGATATGCCCCGTTGAGGAAAAAGAAAAAAAAACAATGCATGCCAGATTTCTGAAAAGAGATAGAGTTACAAGCTCAAATACAAATGTTCTAGGCGGGCTTGAGGTTTTCCCAGATTTTTATGTTCTTTTTATTAACAATTTAACAAATTCTTATTCATGAGATTTTGAAGTCATGACATGTTAAACAAACTGGAGACTGTAATCCCAGTTGAGCAAATAATACTCATTGGCAACCATATTGCTGTCGAATGCAGTCTAATTAACTTTATGATGATTCAGTTGGTCTTCGTTTAGCAACGTATTCAGCGGTAGACTCAGGAATTTTTCAACGGAGGTGAAATTCTCAAAAGCTAAAAGCTCAAAAAAAAGAAAAAAAAAGAGACAAACTAAATATCCTTATAATTTAAACAATACTAATGTTTAAATTCCATGAGCAAGTTATCAACCAAAATACAAGTGCCTCTCTGCCTAGACTGGACTATAGTCCGGGAACATGAAAGGACGGATGTGCAGCGGACGCGGCTTTATTTCATGTGGAGGTGCACTGTCGTACTTCTGTGCTGGGATGAGTGACAGGAAGAAGAGGGGTACATACTATACAGGGTTTAATGAATCTGTAGATATATTGGGGAAGTTAATTAACTGTTGAGGCAAGCATGTGTTTGTGATCTGTTGAGTTTTCTGTTCAAATTTGATACAAAAAGTTAACAAGAAAATCTGCTGCTGCTGCTGCTGTGGTTGGGATGACTTCTCTTTTCCCTTTTACTGTTTTTTCTATTTTTGTTTATTTAAAGGAAGGTCTTCGTTTTGTTGGAGGAGTTTTTGAGTTGAAATCCCATAATAAACAAGGCAAGACCTGTTTTTTTTGGTTCTAGAAAAAATCTCTTCGTTCAAACTAAACATAAAATCATATCCTATCCATCTATGTAGAACCCCGCCTCTCCCCCCACCCTCCCAAAAAAAGGAAGAAAAAAAAAAGATAAGAAAAACTTTTTGGTAGATTAAAGTCAAAGCCACTTCCCTGAAGTCAAAGTCTGGGATATGACAAATTAACTCGATGAATCATCTCTTATTTCGAAGAAGTGGTTCACCAGAAGCTCCTTGCAGTCCTTGTACTAAAGCATGTATTAGCCTATATGGTTGACAAATGGAGTTAACGAAGGGAGCTATTTACGATTTAGCACAATTTGAGGGGATATTACAACTGACCCCGTAGTTGTAAGGGAAGAGCATGTATTAACCTATATGCATGAAAACCCTGCAACCATTAAGCTAACAAAGCTAACAAAGGGAAATTAAATATGTTATCAACTTGATATACTGGAATCAGGTAGCACCTTGTATAAAGTTTAGGCGATGGCTGCCACTTATTATTTCTGTACCAATATATGTTGCACTTATGTACTTGGAAAATAATTTCCTAATGTGAGGATTTAATGTCTAGTTTGTTGCTTGAGGTATCTGATTATATTTCTCATTTTGACAGGTCTAGGAATTCTAAAGTAAGACGGTCTCAAACACAACGTGAGCGCCGGAGACAAGATCTATCTGCTGAAAAATTAAAAGAAATTTCTGCATCTTCAAACCAGGTAAATGTAGGTCCTTATTTTCAGCTTTCCGGGCATGTCAAGTCTTGTCTTATTGCCCACGACCAATTTTCATAGTTAACTAAGATTAGCCAACTGGTCATGTAAGGGGAAGGGAAAAGAGAGAGAATTTTAAAAAAAAGGAAGAAGAAACAACCATTGTTGGGGGGAAAACTGCTCTGGCTCTTTCTCACCTATAGTGCTGTAAGGCACACCTTTCTTATTCTGAAACATAGAGATGGCCTCTATTTCCACTGGAAAAGCAAAAGATATTCTTTCTTGGATTACTAAAGATTAAGTACTATGTAAATAGGGTCTTCAGGAGAAGGAGAAAACTGCTGATTCAAATTTCGAAAGTGAAGAGCCAGGTAGCACTACCAGTAGCAGCTCCTCTAGTGTACATCATGCAGGCCGGAAAGAAAGCCCGATATTCTCCCCGTCCCCAGTTCAAGGCCATCCCGATACTACTAACTCCATTACCCAAGTCTAAAGCGCGCACCACCATGTATAACAAAGACGGTAACATGTAGAGTTCAAATCAGATTAGCAGGTCTGCATCCACTATAGAGAATTCAGAATGTTAGATCAAAGGGACCAATTAGAAGTCTATTCTGTTGATAACTAGGCCACATGAGATGACCATGTAGAGCTGAACCATATCTTTTTTGTTCTATTCTTATTTTCCTCTACTGAGTATTGTTCACCAACATGTATGAATTGGGTATTTTTATAATGCAATGGTGATCCGTTCTGTGTTTGATATGTTGCTTTTTAGTGAGGCTGCTGAGGATAAAAAAGAAAATCAAAGCTAAAAATGCATTTCTTCTTTTAGGGGATTGATTTAGTTGTGACATTTGCAGTGCCCGAGTCAAGGCAATTTGATCCACCCGTAAATTATTATTATTATTTTTCAATTTCTGACAATTTATTCCAAGTGAAATGTTGACATAATCCATTTGTGGCATGATATATGGTTGCATATAGTGATTTGTCATGCGTACCACTCATATTTACTCATTCATTTCAATTTTCATGCATATGTCAAACACTTTTTTTTTTTGGGGGTAGGCTGTGGTTCTCTTACTAGTTCTTCTTACCATTGATGGACAAAATTCCTAGTATGTGAAAATTGAGAGTTGTCATCAGTCATTGAAGTGAAATCTCACCAATTCAAACTATGAGCTCCTATAGTAACTAGCTTTTGATTTAGTAGTATTTTTATTTTCTATGTTGAAAAGAGATTTCAAGTTAAAATTCTAAATTTTCATTAAATTTTTTAAAAAAAAATTAGCGCCAGGGAGCTTTTGACGCTTTGGTTTCACAAATTGCGACATAATCTTCTTCCATGTGTAAGCAATTAACTACTGGAGGCATGTTTTGACATATTCTTTCTATATGTTTGCATGATGTTAAAATCCGACTGTTCCTTTTTTCAAATAGGTTGGATATTTGCAATTTCAAGTGATTCACAATTTGCAAATATTATAATATGAAATCATGGGTTTGGGATTCGGGGACACGTGCAGATGCGGAAGAAGAAAGCATATAAAGCAAATGTGGGAACGTGGAGTTGCAGAAGAAGAAAGCACTGCCATTGGTTGCTCTCAAGGTTCTTGCAACATGTTTATATAGGCACTTGCAATTGCAGACCACTTTTAATGGCAGGAGTCCAATCCAATTGCAAAAAACAAGTTGCAGAGGGGATGCCAGGATTTTAACAGTATGCGGACATCCGCATTAGAGAAAAATTCTATATATATCTTCAGACTAAGAAAATGTAAGCAATTAACTACTAGGTTTAAAATAACTAGGCTATACAAAATTTTAGCCAGTCGACATGTGGCAGCACATGGTGCTGATGACGCAAGATCAAAATGGCAGTCTAAAAAGCTAATATCTACGTAGTCTAAATTTGTATAGTATTTGGTTAGTATTTAAACCTTTTTAAAAACATTTTTTTTATAAAAAAGTCAACTTATATTTAGGGGCCAGTTTTTAACTAACGATTCTTGCATATTAATGGTCTCATAGTCGAACACCGTGGAATTGTGTGTGAGAAACTTCTTCCTCTCCAACTATATACTAAAAACAAAAACAAAAAAACAAAGACAGATACTTTTCAATACAAGGAAACATTGAAGCGAGTAGCGCGACTTTAGGGCCAATGTCCTCATCATCCGATCTTGATAAAGAAATTTTATTGATAGACATACACATTCATAATAGTTTTATTGCCAAGTCTTGTGGTCGTTGATTCTTAGTGAAGCTGCGTGTTTTCGGATTGTGTTATGTTTATATATACACACACCTTAGTTTCCATGCAAAATATCCGATTAATAAAAAAGATGATCCTTTTCTACTTTCTCTCCTCGATGCTTATTGTTAGCTTCCCCACTGAAGCTAAATACATAGGCCATAACTGCTCAACTTTGGCTGGCCACTCCACCTCCACCTTTAAATCCAATCTTAACCAACTCCTCTCAACCCTTTCCTCCAACTCCAACCGCAACGACACCGCAGGCTTCTACAACGCCACTGTCGGCACCGCCTACGGCCTCTTCCTCTGCCGCCGTGATGTGTCTGCCCGTGTCTGCGAAGAATGCGTGGCCAACGCAACCTCGATAGCGCTCCAACGCTGTCACGACAACCAACAGGCCGTGGTTTGGTACGACGACTGCATGCTACGTACTCAAACCAGCCCTTCTATTCTGAGGCTGCCACGTCGCCTAGGCTGGTCACCTGGAGCTCGAAATTGACACAGTATGTGGAGGAACTAGCTCTGTTTAACTATGTGCTGGTTAGGACTTTGGACAACTTGGTCCTCAAGGCAGCCAATGCCAGCGACAAGTTTGAGACGGAAGAAGTAAATTTTACAGACCGGATTTCGTTAACGGTGTACAGCCTCGGACAGTGCACGCAGGACCTGTCCGCCGCGGATTGCAATGTGTGCCTCCGGAAAGCCGTGGCGCAGTTGGAGCCGAATAAGAGAGGAGGACGAGTTCTATATCCAAGTTGTAATGTCAGGTTCGAAATGTACCCTTTCTACCAAGAGGTGATAAGTATCCCAAAACAGCCGCTTGTACCGGAGCAATCTGCGCCTCCGTCAACCAGACCTGGTGAATATTATATTACGAATAAGTCTATTACAACTAAATGTTTTATTATATATGGATTGATATGAACATTTTGTTTTTACTACACTGACTTATTATCTTACTATAATACGTCTTTTTTATATTAAAAAAAAATTAATAGGGGAAGATTAGAACATGTGGAACCACTAAAAGTACCACTAGACTAAAAGTTAGTTGGCTAAAAGAACATATATCTGATTGAAGGAAAAAGAAAAATACTTGCAATGGTTAGAGGGGAATTAAAAAATGTTTCTTGTTCATGCAGGACGAAACAAGGTCACATTTATAATCTTCGCTAGTACTCTTGGTCCTGTTGCTTTCTGTGTGTTCGTTGTGATTGTGGCCGGATGCTTCTTTCCCAAGAGACTGAGAAGAGTCAGAGAGAAATACCAAGCCAAAAAACAACAGAAAAAAGGTAAAAACTGAATAAAATATTTAGTCTAGTCTTGGAACCCAAGAGATCATTAATTCCTTCGTTTTCTTAAGACCTTTTCTAGTACATCTAATCACTTGGAAAACTCATATTTGCTTAGTTGGAAATGATATGAAGACAGTTGAGTCCTTGCAATTTGATTTGGGAACTATTGAAACTGCCACAAATAAGTTTTCAGACAACAACAAATTAGGTGAAGGAGGATTTGGTGCAGTTTTCAAGGTATGAAGATACCTCTTTGCATGTAGAGAGAACTTTTTAATATGTACTTTATTAGAAATTCTTAGCTTGAAGATCATGTAGTTCTGACTTAAGATGATCTAAGAATGGAAATGATTTACTATATATAACCTTGTAGGGAACACTTGGTAACGGACAAGAAATAGCAGTAAAACGGCTATCAAAAAGCTCCACACAAGGTGTGCAAGAATTCCAGAATGAGGTTGTATTGGTAGCCAAACTTCAACATAGAAATCTTGTGAGGCTTCTGGGATTTTGCTTGGAAGGAGAAGAAACCCTACTTGTCTATGAATATGTATCCAACAAAAGTCTCGATCACTTTCTGTTTGGTTTGTGAATATCATGAGTATCTTTGTTTGTCAATATATATATATATATATAGTTCTAAATGGTAAATTAATTCAATCTTGAATGTAACATGTGTTTGATAAATGTTTGCGCAGAACCCACAAAACGAGAGCAGCTGAATTGGTTAAGACGCTGCATCATAATAGGAGGAATTGCTCGAGGAATTTTATATCTTCATGAAGATTCTAGACTTAGAGTTATACATCGTGATTTGAAAGCTAGCAACATCTTGTTAGATGGCGATATGAATCCAAAAATATCAGATTTTGGCATGGCTAAAATGTTTGGACTTGATGGTCAAACTCAAGGAAACACCAAAAGAATTGTCGGCACTCTGTAAGTTCCAATTTATTTAACTCTATATACTTTTTATGACATGATGCACCACAAAGAAGAATAATGTATGATAATTTTCATATCTTAAAACTCTTATGTGAGTGCATTAATTTTGATATGTCAGTGGTTACATGGCTCCAGAATATGCAATGGAGGGATTGTATTCCATAAAATCTGATGTCTTTAGCTTCGGAATACTCTTGCTTGAGATCATAACAGGAAAACGGAACTTTTTGGGTTTTGACGAATGTGTACCTACTCTCCTAGCATATGTAAGTACGTAATTACTTAGTTTGAGTGCTAGCCTCCTTTTCTTAAAAGTAATCGTTCCTATTTATCTACTAATCACAATTTAATACGTACGCAGAAAAAATTAATTTTTTATTTTAATGAGTTATTTTTGTATATATATAATTTCAAACAGTAATTTGCACCAAAGAGAAATGATTCCTTTCAAGAGAGGAGCCAAGCAGTCCCTAATTTAACCATCCAACATTGTAATTGTCCAAATCATTATTTTGGTAGCTCTCAAAGTGTAGTGCTATTTACGTCCTTAATAAAGTACTATTGCTTGCAGGCTTGGCAATTATGGAATGAAGGAAAGGTGTTGGAGTTGATGGATCCACTACTGTTGAAAGATTCATGCAGCCCAAATGAATTTTTGAGATACATCCACATTGGATTATTGTGTGTTCAAGAGGATGCAAACAATAGGCCAACCATGTCATCAGTTGTTCTAATGCTGAAAACTGAAACTATTAGTCTTTCCAAACCTGAGCGACCTGCATTTTTTACTGGAAGGTCTGAAAACCACCACCATCAGATTGGTGCTTATACATGCAGTGTCAATGGTTTGACAGTTTCTGATGATATGCCCCGTTGAGGAAAAAGAAAAAAAAACAATGCATGCCAGATTTCCGAAAAGAGATAGAGTTACAAGCTCAAATACAAATGTTCTGGGCGGGCTTGAGGTTTGTCCCAGATTTTTTATATTCTTTTTATTAACAACTTTATGATGAGTCAGTTGGTCTTCGTTTTAGCAGTATTAGCCCAATTTGAGGGGATATTACAACTGACCCAGGAGATTTAAGGGAAGAGCGTGTATTAACCTATATTCAGATTTATTACTGACTGGACTCGGGTAGTACCTTGTAAAAAGTTTAGGCGATGGCTGCCACTTATTATTTCTGTACCAATATATGTTGCACTTATTTACTTGGAAAATAATTTCCTAATAATGTGAGGATTTAATGTCTAGTTTATTGCTTGAGGTATCTGATCATTTTTCTCATTTTGACAGGTCTAGGTTTTCTAAAGTAAGAACGTGAGTGCCGGAGACAAGATCTATCTGCTGAAAATTAAAAGAAATTTCTGCATCTTCAAACCAGGTAAATGCAAGTCCTTACTTTCAGCTTTCCGGGCATGTCAAGTCTTGTCTTATTGCGCACAAACAATTTTCATAATTAACTAAGATTAGCCAACCGCTCAGTTAAGGGGAAGGGAAAAGAGAGAATTTTTAAGAAATGAAGAAAAAACAACCATTATTGGGGGGAAACCTCCTCTCGCTCTTTCTCACCTATAGTGCTGTAAGGCACACCTTTCTTATTCTGAAACGTAGAGATGGCCTCTATTTCCACTGGAAAAGCAAAAGGGCAAGTTACTCTATTGCATGTAATATTCTTTCTTGGTTACTAAAGATTAAGTACTATGTAAATAGGGTCTTCAGGAGATGGAGAAAACTGCTGATTCAAATTTCGAAAGTGAAGAGCCAGGTAGCACTACCAGTAGCAACTCCTCTAGTGTACATCATGCAGGCCGGAAAGAAAGCTCGATATTCTCCCCTTCCCCAATTCAAGGCCATCCCGATACCACTAAGAACACGAAGAACCTACCTCCATTACCCAAGTCTAGAGCGCACCACCAAGTATAACAAAGACGGGAACATGTACAGTTCAAATCAGATTAGCAGGTCTGCATCCAGTAGAGAATTCAGAAAGTTAAATCAAAGGGACCAATTAGAAGTCTATGCTGTTGATAACTAGGCCACATGAGATGACCATGTAGAGCTGAACAATATCTTTTTTGTTCTATTCTTATTTTCCTCTACTGGGTATTGTTGACCAACATGAATTATCATGAATTGGGTATTTTTATAATGCATTGGTGATCCGCTCTATGTTTGATATGTTGCTTGTAGTGAGGCTGTTGAGGATAAAAAAGAAAATCAAAGCTAAAAATGCATTTCTTCTTTTAGGGGATTGATTTAGTTGTGACATTTACAGTGATTCCGAGTCAAGGCAATTTGATCCACCCGTAAATTATTATTATTATTATTATTATTATTATTATTATTCAATTTCTGACAATTTATCCCAAGTGAAATGTTGACATCCAATTGTGGCATGATATATGGTTGCATATAATGATTTTTCATGCGTACCACTCATATTTACTCATCATTCATTTCAATTTTCATGCATATGTCAAATCCTTTTTTTTGTAGGCTGTAGTACTCTTACTAGTTCTTCTTACCATTGATGGACAAAATTCTTAGTATGTGAAAATTGAGAGTCATCATCAGTCATTGAAGTGAAATCTCACTAATTCAACCTATGAGCTCCTATAGTAACTAGCTTTTGATTTACTGGTATTTTCTTTTCGATGTTCAAGGAGATTTCAAGTTAAAATTTGCTAAAATATGAAAACTATGAAAGAATATTTGTTTGTGGGAATTTTCTGTGTATTCTTCTCCTTGTAGGATGTCATATTTATAATACAACGAAACCTGAATGGGCAAGTAAATAATAAATTCCTAAATCTATTTACAATAGGAAATCGGGAATTAAAGAAAATCAATTACAATTATAATAGGAATTCTTGGTGTGTAAGGAAAGTAAGTCAATATCCACAAGTCACGCCAACACTCCCCCTCACGTTGGTGCATAGATGTCGCCAATGCCCAACTGATCTAGTGAATTATGGAATGCTTTACTGGAAATTGTCTTTGTCAAAATATCCGCCAATTGATCCTCAGATTTCACAAAAGGAAACTAAAACACTTTAGCCTCAAGCTTCTGTTTGATGAAGTGTCGATCCATCTCAACATGTTTAGTATGATCATGTTGAACTGGATTCTGTGCAATGGCTATAGCAGCCTTGTTGTCACAAAAGAGATTCATTGTGGATGTAGGTTTATACCCAAGTTCAGTAAGCAACTTTCTTAACCAAATAAGTTCACAAATCCCTTTAGTCATGTCTCTGAACTCGGTTTCTGCACTGGATAAAGCTACTACATTCTGTTTCTTGCTTCTCCATGTCACCAAATTACCTCCCACGAATGTGAAGTAACTCGATGTGGATTTTCTATCTGTTACATTACCTGCCCAATCTGCATCTGAATAACCATCAATATTTAGATGACCATGTTTTGAGAAATAAGTCCTTTTCCAGGTGCAGACTTCAAATATCTAAGTATCCGAAGAACTGCATTCATGTGGTCTTCACTTGGAGAGTGCATAAATTGACTGACAACGCTCACCGCATAAGCAATGTTTGGTCGAGTATTTGACAAATAGATCAATCTTCCCACTAACCTTTGGTATCTTTCTTAATTAGTTGGAACTTGATCCGGATATTCTCCAAGATGATGATTCTGAACAATAGGAGTGTCCGCAGGTTTGCAATCTAGCATTCCTGTGTCTGTCAACAAATCCAAGACATATTTCCTTTGAGAGAGAAATATATCTTGTTGTGATCGAGCCACCTCAATTCCCAAGAAATACTTGAGTCCACCTAGATCCTTCATCTCAAACTCAGTAGTCAAATAGTCTTGTAGTTGTGATATTTCATGTTTATCATTCCCAGTAATAATCATATCATCAACATAGATTATTAATGTTGTTACCTTCTCTTTCCGATGTTTCAAGAACATAGTATGATATGAGTTGCACTGTTTGAAACCATTGTTCTTCATTACCATGGTGAACCGTCCAAACCATGCTCGTGGTGACTGTTTCAATCCATACAATGCTTTTCGTAACTTGCAAACTGTTCCAGTCTGAGTAGTATTATATCTAGGAGGAATGTCCATGTACACCTCCTCCGTGAGTTCGCCATGTAGAAAACCATTCTTTACATCAAACTGGTGTAGTGGCCAATTCTAATTAGCTGCAAGGGACAATAAGACTCTGACGGTGTTTAACTTTGCAACTGGAGCAAAGGTTTCTTCATAGTCTATACCATAGGTCTGTGTGTACCCTTTTGCCACAAGTCTTTCCTTGTATCGCTCAATAGATCCATCTGCATTGTGTTTTATAGTAAACACTCATCTACATCTGATAGTCTTTTTTTCCTCGTGGTATAGTCTCCAATGTCCAAGTCTGATTTTTCTCAAGAGCTTTCATTTCCTCTTTTATAGCTTGGACCAACTTAGGATCTTTCAATGCTTCAGAGACCTTGGTTGGAATATGGATAGCAGACAACTGATGCACAAAAGCCTTAAGTGGTTCAAACAGCTTCTCAATGGATACATGATTTGCAATTGGATACTTAGATGTCTTGCCAATATAAGGTGAATAACGGTTTGGTGGCTTCCCACGATTTTGCCTGAAAGATAATTGATATCCAATAGTTTTATCCTCTAAATGCACAAGTCTAGTAGGAGTAGTTACCTCTGTTAATGTATGGTTTTTGTTATTTTCTTTTGGCTTCCCTTGACAACTTTGTAATAGGATGTGTATTATTATTTATCAAGCTCAAGTTTAGATTAAGGAAAACTTTTCTTGGTGTTCTTCTCTAATTTCTACTCTATGGAGGTTCAAGCAAGTTGACAAAGGTATTGTGCATTGCATATCATTACATTAAACAATCTTTATAAAATCATGACTAGTCATCCGTTTCTCATATGACTAGTCATCCTTACTCTGTAGGATTTCCAGCTAGATAACAAATTATTTTGTTTTATTCTTCTTTCTCTCTCTATGCTGCCATGTGGGTTTCTGACCTAAGGAATTTTTTGGTCTGTAAAGGCTACGATTTTGCTCATTTGGCGGCTGTCTCTTTTGGGTGAAAGTTCTGGAAATATTGGCTTGTTATCTTTCTCTTCTTCTTCCTCACGAGAGAACCAAATATTTCATCTATGAGTTTTTCCAATTGATTTCTTTTTGAAAAACTGCATTTGAAACACGAATCTGCATCTAGCTACTTAAATCATTCTCTCATTTATATCTAGGTCAGATTCAAGACTGATTTCTTCAAGAGTATGGTTTCTTGAAGAAATTGGTCATTCTCCTTTGAATCCAAATTTTGGTTTCGGTTTGTGTTGGAGCTTGCAAGCTAGTGCCATGGGATGAATGAGCTGGAGAAGGAACTGCCACTGCCATGAAGAACTGAGCTTCAAGCTTTGCTAAGTTGGAGAAGAAGATTGCACAAAGGAGGTATAGCTCATCTTCCTAAATAGATCTAGGTTTTTCTTGAGCTTGCTTGTGTTCCTTTGTAAGAATCTTTTTCTACTTAGTGGATTGCCTGGTCGGTTGATGACCCCCAGTTTTTCCCAATGGTGGGTTTCTGGGTGAACAGTTTCTGGTTTCCATTTCTGTAAATTTTCTGGGTTTGTGTTCTTGATAGTTGACTAGTCATCTGGGTTTGTGCGGTTGACTAGTCATCTTTTTATGATGTTTGGTGTTTGCTTGATTATGTTGTCTTCACACACTTTCACCATAATTGTTGCTAGCACAGGGGATGCCTAGATTGACGGGTCCTTCTAAGTGCCTAGGTTGTCACTAGTAATTCTCTAGGCTTGTAGGTTCATCTTAGTAAGCTCTGTGTACGTTATTGTTTGATATAATTCATATATGATAGTTGACTAGTCATAAGAGTATGAGTATTTGGTCAAGGTCTAGAGTATGTGAAGTTTGCTGCGTTCTTGGTTGAATATGTTTTAAATTTATCCCTCGTCACCTAAGTACCAATTTCAACCTCAAGGATATTCTCAAGAGATTGGTCTGTTGGTACTGTTGAGTTAGATAAGGGGTCTTCATCTTGTTGTTCTGTATTGTCTGTAGGTGTGAGACTTGGATCAGAAATATCTTCTCATGGATCAGGTGGGTCAGGCAATTGATCGCTATGAATGGGCGATTGATCGCTCGTCGGCAGAGAGTAATCTCGTGCTCCAGACTCGGGACGATCGATCATTTCTGTACATAGGAGAATTTCTTCATTTTCTAAGTTGCTCCAATTCTGCTCTTCACTTCATATCTCCCCCTGAACCATAGAATTGGATGATGAGTCATGGAAGAACAACTCAGATTCCAGAAAGGTCACATCCAAAGTGACATAGGTACATCGGGTAGGAGGGTGATAATAACGGTAGCCTTTCTAATGAGTGACATAACCCACAAAAACACAACGAAGCGCACAGAGATCAAGTTTGCTACGTTGATTTTTGTGGAAATGAACGAAAGCCACACATCCAAAGATTCGGAGTGTGAGTACCAAAACAGAGGGTAGAGGTTTGTGTTGCGCAAGCACCTGTAACGGAGTTTTAAAGGTCAATACACCAGAAGACATGCGGTTGATCAGGTGAACTGCAGTGACAATAGCATCATCCCAGTGATGATGAGGAACATGAGCGCCAATCAGAAGTGCTCGAGCGGTTTCAAGAAGATGTCGATTCTTTCATTCAGCAACACCATTTTGTTGCGGTGTCTGAGGACAAGTCGTCTCATGGATAATTCCATGTTGTTGGAAGTAAGTCTAAAAGTCATGATTGACAAATTCTCCACCATTGTTTGAGCGAAGAATCTGGATTTGAGCATTAAACTGAGTCTTCATCTGTTTGTGGAATGACTGAAAACGGGAAAACACTTCATTTTTATTCTTCAGCAAATAAAGCCATGTCATCCGTGTACAATCATCTATGAATGTGACAAACCATCGGACACCAGAAGGAGCAGTGATAGGTGAAGGTCCCCAGACATCAGAGTGAATTAACGTAAATGGAGTAGTACACTTGTTCGTACTCAGCGGGTAGGGCACACAGTGACTCTTGGCCAAAATACAAGTATCACATGTGAAGTTGGAGTCCTTGAAACCTGAGAATAAATATGGTATAAGATGCTTCATATAACTAAAAGACGGATGTCCCAATCGACGGTGCCACAACCAAATTTGTTGTTGTTTGCTATCAAAGGGATGCGTCACATTATTAGCCATGCCGGGACTGAAGTCATCTACATAATATAGCCCCCCTCTCTTAGTACCATGACCAAGAATCTCCTTAGTTTGAATATCCTGAAGCAAACAAAAACTCGAGTAAATGAATACACAACAATTCAATTATTCAGTAAGCTGACTAACTGACAACAATTTATTGGATAAAGATGGAACAAGTAAAGTATTAGACAGTAAGAGAGAGGATGAGAGTTCAATAGTGTCAGCCCCTGTCACAGGATAAGTAACTCCATTGGCATTTGCAATACAAGTTCGTCGAGATTGTGTAGTATGAAGAAAATCATCAGGATCAAACGTCATATGATCAGTTGCACCGGAATCAATTATCCAGCCCCTGGAATCAATCTTAGCGGAAGTATGGAATCCATAACCAGTACCATTACTGGTCGTATTGCGTTGTCCTTGATCTTTAAGGGTAGCCCACCAATCGGGATAGCCATGCAATTTAAAACAAGTCTCAGGAGTGTGTCTTGGATCACCATAATATTCGTAATCTGGTCCATGTGTCGGGGTCGTTAGTCGAGAAGTCATAATCTGTGCAGCGGAAGATGTATAGGATACGAGTTTAGTAGGAATTCGGATCGGGATCTGAGCCTGAGTCGGGGTCGGAGTCAGAGTCGAAGTTGGGATCGGGGTCTGAATCAAAGATAAATTCGGGGTCGGGGTCGAGGTTGGAGTCATCATCAAAGTGGGGGTCAAGGTCGTTGTCGAAGTTAAAGTCAGAGTCGGGGTCGGGGTCGGGGTCGTCGTCGTCGTCGTCGTCATAGTCGGGGTCGAGGTCGAGGTCGTCAAAAGAGGATCCTGATTCAGGATCAGATTCAAGGCCAAAGTCTGCATCTATAGGAGCTAAGCCATCTGGGCACTCAACTCGACTATGGTTGGTTGAGAATGAGAGAATGAGTTGATGGTGCTACCTCCATGAGGGATGAAAAAATCATCAATCCCCATAGCGGTGGCGGGGGTGTGAAACTAGAGTCAACAATTCTAAGATCGCCACTCTGATACAATGCTAAAATATGAAAACTATGTGAGAATATTTGTTTGTGGGAATTTTCTGTGTATTTTTCTTCTTATATGAGGTCATATTTATAATACAACGAAACCTGAATGGGCAAGTACATAATAAATTCCTAAATCTATTTACAGTAGGAAATCAGGAATTAAAGTAAATCAATTACAATTATAATAGGAATTCTTGATGTGTAAGGAAAGTAAGTCAATGTCTACAAGTCACGCCAACAAAATTCTCCATTTTCATTGATTTTTTTGTTAAAAATAGCTCCAAGGAGCTTTTTAAGCTTTTGTTTCACAAATTGCTACATAATCTTCTTTCATGTGTAAGCAATTAACTATTGGAGGCATGTTTTGGGTCCATAATCCTCTTTCAAATTGTGACATAATCTTCTTTCATATGTTGTGTTGCTGCTTTGTACTATATCTGGAGGCCTGTTTTGGCATATTCTTTCTATATTAATTAATATATATCATCCGAGTTGGTTAGAGCGAATGTGCTTCCCATTCTGCACCTGAGTTCGAATCCCCATTTCCATAGTTAAGATTAGTTTAGCGGTTGTGCTCCTCACTCTGCACCCGAATTTAAATCCCCTCCTCTTAGTTTAGAGTAGTTTAGAGTATAATATCGTTTGTATAAATAAATTAATATATATATATATATATTCCCTCTCTAACGCGGATGGCTGCACGATGTAAAAATCCAATTGTTCCTTTTTTCAGCTTGTTTTTTCAAATAGATTGGATATATGCAATTCCAAGTGATCCACAATTTGCCAATATTTATTTTATACATAAGAAATCATGGGTTTGGGATTTGGGGACACATGCATATGCAGAAGAAAGCATATAAAGCACATGTGGGAACGTAGAGTTGCAGAAGAAGAAAGCACTGCCATTGGTTGCTCTCAAGGTTCTTGCAACATGTTTATATAGGCACTTGCAATTGCAAACCACTTGGAATGGCAGGACTGCAATCCAACTGCAAAAAACAAATTGCAAAGGGGACGCCCGAATTTTAACAGTTTGCGGACATCCGCATTAGAGAAAAATTATATATATATATATATATATATATATAAATATATCTTCAGACCAAGAAAATGTAAGCAATTAACTACTAGGTTTAAAATAACTAGGCTAGACAAAATTTTAGCCAGTTGACATGTGGCGGCACATGGTGCTGAGGACTCAAGATCAAAATGGCAGTCTAAAAAACTAATATCTACGTAGTCTAAATTTGTAGGAGTTTGATGAAGAAATTGTATTGATAGACATACATTCATTTTCATAATAATATTGATGTGATCATTATAATAGTTTTATTGCCAAGTCTTTCTGGTCGTTGATTCTAGAAGTAGAACCAAAAATTCTTAGAGAACTGCCAACGACCTAGTTCTTGTTTAGACTCAAGTCAAGCTGCGTGTATTGTTGGGATTTTGTTATGTTTATATACACACACACCTTAGTTTCCATGCAAAATATCCGATTAATAAAAAAAAATGATCCTTTTCTACTTTCTCTCCTCCATGCTTATTGTTAGCTTCCCCACTGAAGCTGCATACATCGGCCATAACTGCTCAACTTTGGCTGGCAACTCCACCTCCACCTTTAAATCCAATCTTAACCAGCTCCTCTCAACCCTTTCCTCCAACTCCAACCGCAACGACACCGCAGGCTTCTACAACGCCACAGTCGGCAACGCCTACGGCCTCTTCCTCTGCCGTGGTGATTCGTCTGCCAGTGTCTGCAACGAATGCATGGACAACGCAACCTCGGAGGCACTCCTACGCTGTCCTGACAACCAACAGACCGTGGTTTGGTACGACCACTGCATGCTACGATACTCAAACCAGCCCTTCTATTCTGAGGCTGCCACGTCACCTAGTATGACAGGCTGGAGCCCGCGGAATTTGCCACAGTATGCGGAGGAACCTGAGCTTAACGATGTGGTGGGTACGACTTTGGACAACTTGGTCCGTAAGGGAGCCAACGCCAGAGACAAGTTTGCGACGAAAGAAGTAACTTTTACGGGCCTGATTTCGTTTACGGTGTACAGCCTCGGGCAGTGCACGCCGGACCTGTCTGCCGCGGATTGCAATGCGTGCCTCCGGAAAGCCTTGACGCAGTTGGTGCCGAATAAGCAAGGAGGACGAGTTCTATATCCAAGTTGTAATGTCAGGTTCGAAATGTACCCTTTCTACCAAGAGGTAACAATTACCACAAAACAGCCGCTTGTACCAGAGCCATCACTCCCTCCTCCACCCGCCTTGACTCCATCGCTGCCACCTCCGCCATCTGCGCCTCCGTCAACCAGACCTGGTAAATATTATATTACAAATAAGTCTATTACAACCATAGAACAAAATATCGATAATTTCGCCGATATTTCGGCGAAATTATCGTTTTTTTGGGGCAGCGATATTTTAGCACATTTCCATATATATATCGTCAATTTATCGATAATTTCCTCGATAATTTCACCGATATTTCAGTAACGATATTTTCCTTCAAGTTGCAGCTTTAAATGGACAATATATCGCGATATTATCGATAATATCGCGATATGAACTTACAAAATTAAACTCAGCCTTCAGATGAATCCCTCAGCCTCCGAAACTCAGCCTCTCTGTCTCTCAACTCAATCTTAACTAAACTAAAATAAAATAAAATAAAAATAAAAATAAAAGAGGAGAGCGAGAGAGAAGGGAAGAAGAGGAAAAAAAATAATTATGGAGTGGGTTTTTATATTTTGTTGTTTTGGATTGTGATGAAGCGAGAGAGGGAAGAAGAAGTAGGGAAAGAGACAGAGAGATAGAAGAAGAAAGAAAAAAAAAGCAGATAGAGGAGAGCGAGCGAGAGAGAGAAGGGAAGAAGAGGGAAAAACGTATGGAGTAGGTCTTTATGTTTTACTGTTTTGGATTGTGATGGAGGAGAGAGAAGAGGGAAGAGGAAGAAGAGAAAGAGAGGGAGAGAGACGGAGAGATAGAAGAAGAAAGGGAGAGAGAGAGAGAGAGAGAGAGAGAGAGAGAGAGTGTGTAGAATAAATAAATAAAATAAAAAGGGAGAGATGGGTGAATGCCCAAAAGAGAGAGAGAAGGCAAGTTGCATGTATCTGCAACCTTGCGAAGTTCAGACAAAAAAAAGGAAATAAAAAAACGTTGGGAAGTGGGAGAGGGAGGTAGGGAAACGTGAAAGTGTAGAATAAATAAATAAAATAAAAAGGGAGAGATGGGTGAATAGCCAAAAGAGAGAGAGAAGGCAGGTTGCATGCATCTGCAACCTTGGGAAGTTCAGACAAAAAAAGGAAATAAAAAAACGTTGGGAAGTGGCAGAGGGAGGTAGCGAAACGTGAAAGTACTTGGGAAGTGGGAAATGTGACTTAATTACTTAATATAATTTATTTCTTTTCTATTTAATCCAGTTAATGTTATTGATTATTTTATTACTCATTATAAGTACTTACATTACTAAATTCTCCTTCAAATTGTTGCTTAAATCTCTATAATCATTTTCATTATTTGCTATTTAATTCTTCCTTGGATAAATTTATTTATGTTCTTAGTTAATTTTCAATCTTCACTATTATTTTTTAAGCATGGTAAAGTGCCTAATTTTCATGAAAAATCAAATTGGTTTACATCTTTAATTATTTTTCAATTTTTGATAAATAATAAATAAGAATGTGTACCATGTCAAATGAATAACGTGAAATAAATTGTTGCTTAATTACTTAAATTTCTATAATCATTTTCTTTATTTCCTATTTAATTCTTCATTGGATAAATTTATTTATGTTCTTAGTTAATTTTCAATCTTCACTATTATTTTTTAAGCATGGTAAAGTGCCTAATTTTCATGACAAATCAAGTTGGTTTACATCTTTAATTATTTTTCAATTTTTAATAAATTAATAGATATAACAACGTGTACCATGTTCAGTGAATAACGTGAAAAAAAGTTACTCATGTATCTTATCATGCAATTTATAAAGTGTAAAATATTGTACTAAAAAATGATAAATAAATTACTAAGGGGTGTTTAATTCTCTTTCATTAATTACTTCAGATTTTCTAAGTCACAGAGTTTGTCAGGTCGCAATATAATCAACTTAAATCACACAAACCCACTATGCAATGCATTTCCTTCCAATTTTTTGTGTCAAAATAATATATGATTGACTAAATAAACTTCTTCTAAGGTTTCATTAAAATTTCCATGTATTTATCATAATTTCCGTGGTTTTTATCCAATTTTTATCGATATCGATATTTTCCCGATATTTCCATCGATATTTCCGTGTTTTTGAATCACCGATATTTCCGAAACTATCGATATTTAAGACCTTGATTACAACTAAATGTTTTATTATATATGGATTGATATGAACATTTTGTTTTTACTAAAGTGACTTATTATCTTACTAATAAGTCTTTTTTAAAATTAAAAAAAAATTAATAGGGAAGATTAGAACATGGAACCTCTAGAAGTACCACTAGACTAAAAGCTAGTTGGCTAAAAAAACATAAATCTGATTGAAGGAAAAATAAAAAAAGACTTGCAAAGGTTGAAGGGGAATTAATAAATATTTTGACAATCTTTCTTTGGCACTTTTCTTCTTGTTCATACAGGACCAAGCAAAGTCACATTCATAATCATCGCTAGTACTCTTGGTCCTGTTGCTTTCTGTGTGTTACTTGTGATTGTGGCCGGATGCCTCTTTCCCAAGAGACTAAGAAGAGTCAGAGAGAAATACCAAGCCAAAAAACAACAGAAAAAGGGTAAAAACGTACTCAATAAAAGATTTAGTCTAGTCTTGGAACCCAAGAGATCATTAATTCCTTCGTTTTCTTAAGACCTTTTCTAGTACATCTAATCACTTGGAAAACTCATATTTGCTTAGTTGGAAATGATATGAAGACTGTTGAGTCCTTGCAATTTGATTTGGGAACTATTGAAGCTGCCACAAACAAGTTTTCAGACAACAACAAATTAGGTGAAGGAGGATTTGGTGCAGTTTTCAAGGTATGAGGATATCTCTTTGCATGCAGAAATAACTTTTTAATTTGTACTTTATTAGAAATTCTTAGCTTGAAGATCATGTAGTTCTGAATTAAGACGATCGAAGAATGGAAATGATTTACTATATATAACCTTGTAGGGAACACTTGGTAACGGACAAGAAATAGCAGTAAAACGGCTATCAAAAAGCTCCACACAAGGTGTGCAAGAATTCCAGAATGAGGTTGTATTGGTAGCCAAACTTCAACATAGAAATCTTGTGAGGCTTCTGGGATTTTGCTTGGAAGGAGAAGAAACCCTACTTGTCTATGAATATGTATCCAACAAGAGTCTCGATCACTTTCTATTTGGTTTGTGAATATCATGAGTATCTTTGTTTGTATATATATATATATATATATATATATATATATATATATACAGTTCTAAGTGGTAAATTAATTCAACCTTGAATGTAACATGTGTTTGATAAATGTTTGTGCAGAACCCACAAAACGAGAGCAGCTGAATTGGTTAAGACGCTGCATCATAATAGGAGGAATTGCTCGTGGAATTTTATATCTTCATGAAGATTCTAGACTTAGAGTTATACATCGTGATTTGAAAGCTAGCAACATCTTATTAGATGGCGATATGAATCCAAAAATATCAGATTTTGGCATGGCTAAAATGTTTGGACTTGATGGTCAAACTCAAGGAAACACCAAAAGAATTGTCGGCACTCTGTAAGTTCCAATTTATATAACTCTATATAATTTTTAGGCTTAATTGCTACAGTGCACCCTGAAACATTGGTCAATTCTCACTTTACCCCCTTAAAGTTAAAGTGACTCACTTTGCCCCTTTGACCAAGGTTTGAGGTTCCACATTGCCCCTACTGTTAACTTAATCCAAAAGTCCGTTAAGTTTGATGACCTGACAGAGGTGTTTTAGTAATTCTGTGCACCTAGGTTTTTTAATTACTTTAAAAAATTAAAATACGAACATAAAATTGAAAAAAAAAAAGATTTTGAAGAGAAAAAAAAACCCTACCCATCCCTTCCCCCCCTCCCCCAACCCGCAACCCACCCCCTCCCTGTGCAGAACCCAGAAACCATCGCCCCCCTCCTCAGCAACCACTCTCCTTGGGCAAAACCCAAAAACCCACCGGCCCCCCCAACCCCCCACTGATTTCTTACACCTCCCCCGATTTCTTCTCTACTCCCCCCTTTCCCCATCGCCCCCTCCCTCTAGTTTTTTCTACCCCACTCCCACAGAATCCCAGCCCCCATACCCATTCCCCTTCTCCCCGACCCCATGCCCCTCTAGCCCATTTTCCCCATCGCAACCCACCCTGCATAGAGAGAGAAAGAGAGAGAGAGAGAGAGAGATATTATGATAAATTTGCTCTTAGTTTCATTTCCTTGAAACCCACTTATTTGGATTATGGAAAATTTAATTTTACACTGGCTATGAGTTCCAATCTACTCTACTTCTTCAACAGTTTTGATTGATAGGCGTGCATTGCATTAGAACAAGTTTCTGTGGTGTTTTGCTATTTTGAGTTGAATGCTGATGATGAATTTCCCATTTTGTGTCATTGGAAATATCTAAGAGAGAGAGACAAAGACAGAGAGAGAGCGAGAGAGAGAGAGAGAGATCAATTTTTTAAAGTTTTAAATTTTATGCTTGTATTTTAATTTTTTATCCATGCTAGAGGTGGGCTCCACTTTGCCACATTACCCATTCAAATTTGTGAATAAAAAACCTAAGTGCACAAATTACTAAAACACCTCTGCCACGTCATCAAACTTAACGGACTTTTGGATGGAATTGATGGTAGAGGGCACTGTGGAACATCAAACCTTGGTCAAGAGGGCAAAGTGGTTCACTTTAACTTTAAGGGGGTAAAGTGAGATTTGACCAATGTTTCAATGTGCACTATAGCAATTAAGCCTACTTTTTTTGATATGATGCACCACAAAGAAGAATAATGTATGATAATTTTCATATTTTAAAACTCTTATGTGAGTGCATTAATTTTGATATGCCAGTGGTTACATGGCTCCAGAATATGCAATGGAGGGATTGTATTCCATAAAATCTGATGTTTTTAGCTTCGGAATACTCTTGCTTGAGATT